CAGTTCTAGAAAGTTCTAGAACCTGATTTCACCAGTGGTGGCTCTCTCACATCTTATGCTGTCCTGCCTTTGTATGGATAGGGATAGCATACAGACTGGGAAAAGAGGGACAAGGAAGAGGGGACTGGAGTGAGGAAGCCCCTAAGAAGAGTATAGAACAAGGCCAGATAATTGAGAGTCTATTTACCGAGAATAGATGGGCCTTGGTCCCATGGCTATCCCAGAATAAAAAAGAAGCAGGGAATCTAGGATGATTTTCAGATATCAGACTAGCTATTTTAGATTGGTCCATCTTACAGCAGCGAAGAACACTAGTAAAGGTGTAGGCTGAAGACGTAGTGGTGGTGGAAAATGATATGTATATGGAGAAGCAGAGGGAGGTGGGATCCAGTGGGAATGGAAGAGACAATATATGAGAGCTGGAGTGTAGGAGGGTTCTGGTGGTGCAGTGAAAAAAATGCTTGTAATTAAAATTGCTTGTCTGAGCATGGCCTCAGGAGCCTGCATCTCTCATCTTGGCCCGCACTATCCCATCATCCTGTACTGTTCCCAGGACTCTACGCAGCGTGATGTTCCTGCTGTCCTTCAAGCACCCCCACCTGCTCCTACTCCAGACACGGTGCACTTGCTGCTCTCCTCTAGAGCACCCTGATCTAGGTCCCCTCTTGATTAAATGGTGTGGCTTCTCATTCGGTCTCAGTTGGAGGACTACTCACTTCTTACAAGAAGGCTTCCCTGACCACCATCTATAAACTGGACCCTCTAGTTACTGGCAACAGGATGACCTTTTCCCTGGAGGGCATAAACGTTTCTGGAATCTTCTCTATTTGTTGATTTATTCTAGAATATGTTCTCATTGGAAATGAAGACAATATTTTTTTTTTTATCATTGTATCTTTAGGTTGTAATGGCTATGAGAACTAAGGACTTACACAGTTAAATGAATGAAAAATGTAACATAATAAATGAAAAAGCTAATACATAAGTTGAAGTTGTTCAGTTAGATCTGAAGTCATGGCACCGATCGGGTCGCACGACAGGTGCGTATAGGTAGGGAGAAGGAGGGGAGAGGACTGCTTGCCCCCATCAGCTCTGTCCTTCTTGGTACATCCTCCTGCGGGGAGAGCAGGTGATCCTTTCAACTAAAAATTCCATTTGGCTAAACATGATCCTTTTCCATTCTAACATCATAGATACTTAGGAATAAATCAAATCCACTTGGTTAATCTGTAACAGAATCTTTTGTATCTATAAAGAAACATGCTAATCAATATATTTAATGATCCTAGACTCTAAGCATTGTTAGTAATTGATAGTAAAGTACAAAATCAAAATGAAAGTGAACTTAGTTTAAAAAAAAAAGAAAACCCAGAGATGGTAGACAAGATTCTTTTTGCAACAACTCAATATTGGGCCAGGTAATAAAAATGTTTCTTTTGCTTAGGAATTACAGAAAAAAAAACGAGACTGTAAGAAGATGAAAAATTTTAAATACTCAGAGTGAGTTGTAATTATTAATTTGTTAAAAGTTGATTGGTAGAGAGATCGTGATTTATAGCTTGATATAGTGGAAGGAGGTTTAGTGTTATCAGCACTTGCTTTTACTATTGGCGAGCTACTTGAAGTTTCAGATTTTTTAATATTCAGACCAAGGAGAATGAAGTAGTGCTTTGATCGCATTTTGGAGGGTGACTGTATTAAAATCTACACGCTGTATGTATTATATGAGCCCAGCAGCAGGTCATCTGGAAATTTAAATAATTGACCACAAGGGGGAGAACTCTAATTCTGGAAATGACTTGAACATCCTCCCTTATGTGAAGCTTGGGGTGACACACTTTCTCACTTTCCTGTCCTGACGTTGAGGGTTCCCCTACTAGAGGCAGGTCTCACTGGAAATGTGGTTTTGTGTTGTGAAAATTGTGATCAAATGATTGGATTTCAGAATCTATTTGCATTAAGCACCAGTATTACTTCAGGACGGAATCTGGATGCCTGCATTGCAATAATGAAGGTAGCATTATTTTAGATTTCATGCTCAGCATTTTTCCTTTTAAATACTAAGTCAGTCATTTTTTTAAAAACATTTATTTTATTTTTATTGGAAGGTCAGATATACAAAGAGGAGGAGAGACAGAGAGGAAGATCTTCCGTCCGATGATTCACTCCCCAAGTGAGCGCAATGGCCAGAGCTACGCCAATCGGAAGCCAGGAGGTCTTCTGGGTCTCCCACATGGGTGCAGGGTCCCGAAGCTTTGAGCCGTCCTTGACTGCTTTCCCAGGCCACCAGCAGGGAGCTGGGTGGGAAGCAGAGTTGCCAGGATTAGAACCAGTGTCCATATGGGATCCTGGCACGTTCAAGGCGAGGACTTTAGCTGCTAGGCCACAGCGCCGGGCCTAAGCCCATCATTTTTAAAGAAGGCTGCCTCCTTTCTGACAGTCTTTGCTGAATTCTTAAACTGTAAAATCATCAGTTAGGAGAGTACCCATACCAAGGCAGGAGAATCCGAAAGGTGCTGGCAGCTCCTTTGAATTTGATTTACTCGTAGATGAATTCCTGTCTTTCGTTCATTGTTCTGTGAATATTAAATGTTACGTGTTCACAGTGTTAAAATATCCATTTTTCTTTTTGTGTTAAATTCTATACTTTAAAACTTCAATTTGAAGTTTTATGGTAAGGAAACTTTAACTTTCACGGACCTGAGACTTACCTTATGAATATTATTAAGTCATAATGGTTCACATATTTGAGCTTTATCAACCTAAATTATATTTGAATGGTATTAATATAAGATTTCTGGATTTTTATCAACTAGATTCCTCAAACACACAGCTAAATGATTCCTCTGTGAAGAGTTGACTTTAGTGAGCAATATGAATATTTGATATCTATGTTAGCAAAAAATGTTTGTTTCCCTTTGGAGCTAGTGTTACACACTTTTCTAGCTTGGTCAGTGATGGCAGGTCTTACTTTTTATCATTGAATTGTATTTTATAAATTCCTCTAAAATGATCCATATGGTTAATGATTTTGTCTGGCTTGACAAATTTGTTTTTTGTCAATATGTATGACACCAGGAAGTATTATAGACCAGTAAAACTCTAAGCCATGCTGGGTGGTGCATACACATCTTAGTGGGTTGCCAGCAGGCTTATGGATCAAGTGGCAAATGATTCCTTGTACATATCCAATAAACACTAAGCACATTATGGAATAGAAAATAAATTATGTAAAGTATCACACGTTCACAAATATTTATTCCTGCTGAATTGATATTATTACTCCAGACTGTTGTGCAAGCACCCCAAAACTTGGTGGCTTAGGTCAGTTACAGCCACTTAAATTGTTTGCAAATCTGTAATTTGAACAAGGACAGGTACTCTGTCCTCCATGCAGGATCTGTTGGACTAGCTTGAAGTCTGAGGTTAACTGGAAGGAAATTCATGCATATTGAGTGACACTGTTTGCTGGACATCATCTGGAAGCTGGCTGGTCACAGGGTGGTGCTTTGGTCCCAGGAGCCAACATTCATGTGAGCAAAGCTAAGAGCCTGGTGTTTCTCTGACCTGCCCCAGGGGATCCTGTGAAATCACTTTTGTTTCACTCTGCTGGTAAAGGTGATTACTTGGAGTCAAAGGCAAGGATTCAGAGACCACAGTGCAACTCGAGGAAGGTCAAGGCCAAGTTGTAAGAAGAGCAGGTCGAATTGGATGTGAGTATTGCAGTGGCCATTTTTGAGGAAAAATATTGTGTGCAGTAATTTCATTTGTAAAACATAATTTATATGCATAAACTGCATTTCTATTAGGTAGATAACTTTAGAAAATAGTTTTTCCACTCAAAACTCACCCTCCTAAAGAGATTCTGTTCGTGTCAGTGACCATTTGCTATTTCTTCCTGTCTCAACTTACTCTGTTACATAAGCTCTTCTGTCCCCAGGCCACATTTCATATACATTTGGGAAGTGTTTTCTAATTCTTTTCATATTTAAATTTTTTGACCCAGAGAATACTCTCATTTATTTTGTCATTAATAATTTACAAGTGATGGGCCACTCTTTTACCTAATTCAAAGAATAAATAACATTGGTGAGTAATGTTTCAATTTAATAGTTTCTAAATTGGTGTAAATGCAGGAATTTATGTATTCTTTCTTTCTGAGAATTGTTGCCAGTTGTATTTAAACATATTATTTCTGTTACTAAATTGAAAAAGGCCTTGAGTTTGGCTAAAAATGAAGTATATATATTTAATTATTTAATTTCAGAACATTTGAAAGTGAAAGTAATACTGGACTTTCTTATAATTTGGTTCTCAGGTGAAACAATGATGTTAATTATCTACATTTAAATTACCTGTATTTGGAGTTCAAATTGAGATTGCTTTTTTTTTTCTCCTCTAAAGAGGTTTAAAAATAAAACAATGATGAACACAATTCTCCCTCTACTATACCTAAAATCTGTTTTATAGCCTATTAGGTTAAACTTAGAAGAATATCATGAGCGTAAAACGAGTTTGTCATTGAATTGTTTAGACCAGTTAGAAAATTGAAATTGCAAAGAAAGTGTTAATGTTGGATAAAGGAAGAGAGGCCTTGTTGTATACATTCTTTTGAAGAAATTTAATGGGGGGAATAACAAGTTTATTGATTTAACTTGGAATCATACAGAAATGCATTTTAAAGTGGGCGGGTAAAATGTCTTCCTCTTGCGTGGCTCCCTCCCTTGCACTTGGCAGGTGGCTGGCACTGTGCTCAGTGGCGTTATGAGGGAGAGAACCGTGTCCCCTGACACTGTGGCTTCTGGCTGCTTCAAAAAGGCACAGTGTCCCTGGGGTTTCTAATTATCCCAACATTTTGGATTCCGTGGGCCAGAAGAAGTGAGTTGAGAGCTGTTCCTGAGAATGAGGTCTTGTGCTCTGGAATCAGAAGTTATGCAGCAGGTCCCTCCCTCGTTGATGCTCCTGCAGTGCTCCTGGTGTGTGGCTGCTGTAATAGTCACACACACTGCATCATGCGTATCATGAGTCTTCACATACTTGCCTCCGACCTCAAATTGCCAACAACCCAAGGGTCGCATTTTTCTCTTAAGTTTTGTATGTACTAAACGCCGGGCTGTGTAGTTACTGGTTACTCAGTCACTGTTGAGAGAATGAATTGTGTTTGTTCCTTTCCATGCATCCTGCACTTTAAAATACGAATTTGTTTAATGAATATAAAGGTAATGGTTAGCAGTTTAATAAGATCTTGTTACACTCATGCTCTTGTTATTATGCTGAGTTTAATATTCAAAAAAGGGATGTATTCCATGCTTAGCTGGGTATTTTCCATAGAGAGTAAGGAAAAAAAAATGTATAGATCACAGAGTTTTGTTTTGCCTTTTTTAAAAGAAAGGAGTAACTTTAGAATTGACAAAGGCCTGGTTAAGAAGCATGTGTTCCTGAAAAGATAGGAGCACATAGTCTTTTTCAGGCCTAGAAGTAAGAAGGAGCAGGCCATACGACCTCAGAATCAGAGGTCACATGGATGGGCTTATTATACATATCCATGAATTCCGCAGGGCTCATGAATTCGTTAGATTTGCACAAGTACTTTAGAATTTGCTCAGGGGGGAGTAGGTCAGGGATAACTTGGTGCAAGTTATCACCTAGTCCTTTAGTGCCCACCTTAATAGTCTTAAAAAGGTACAGTCCGAGTTGATGAGTCTGCCTGAGGAACTCTGTGACGACCTCTCCCAGGCTCTCCGACTGGGTCATGTCGTTGAGATACATGACCGGGACCTTGATGAGTGAGACGTGCCACTGCATGAAGAGTCGTGATGGGATGTTGTGGGAAATGGCAATGATCTTCATCTCTTGGATCATAAATTCTGTTTCTTCGTCTTGGTGGCCCAGGTGCTCCTGGAGGATCTGGTAGAGGGTCCCCGAGGAGGACTCCAGCATATGCAGCATTGAAGTCGGGTAGATGAGCAGCAGCCCGGTCACGGCTTCCCCCAGGTGGCGTCTCATAATCGAATGGAACACCTGTTCGTAATACTCTGCAATGCCCTTCTTGTCTGTGTTTTCCTGGATGTTGGCCACTAGAAACATCCTATTGAGGAGGAATTTCTTCATCTGCAGTCTTTGTTTCTCTTCCTGAAGGTGCAAGTAATTGCCACGAGGAACTTGTGGAGCTGCAAGTGATTCTATTGGAGGAGGCTTTTGGCTGATCTTCCGTACATGGGCCATGGAAGACATGATGAGTATTATGTATTCTTCTAGATGATTCCAGGTTTTAGCTCGCCATCATACTGACATGATCAAAAGTCTTGGGTGATGAAGCTGAGTTTTTACTTACTTTGGCAAAAGAAAAAAAAAATTTCATTTTGACAAACGTTAATGGATAGCAGATGCCCTTTCCAATATTATCAACAATGTCTTTGAAAGAAAATGCTAAAACCAAGCTACATATATGTATATATATACACGTATATATGTATTGAAATTTACATTAAAGCCACTCACAATCTTATCCTAGGAAAGAAACTTTACAAATGTAGTGCTAGAGTGATTATACTTTATGCTTCATTTTCAAATTTTAAGTGGCATCTGCATATAACTTCTCCAACGTTTTATAAATCTAATCTATAAAATTAAGAAAATATGTGTGAGCCTAGCCCTGGTTTATCAAAAGTTAATAAAAAGTTAATCAAAAGTTAAGTTTAATCAAAAGTTAATAATATTTTTGGACACTAATAAACTTCTTGAGGATGTGTTGGATCTTTACCCATCAACAACTCTCAGAATCATCGCCCATGTTCACCCACACTCCTTATTGGTATTTCAGAGATTCAGTAAAAACACTTCGCTACCTGACTTCTTCCTGCACATGTCCGTTGCTGCAGCAGCCCAGCCTCTGTTCTGTTTTCAGAGGATTCTTTCCTCTGCTTGCCGTTGGGAGTCTGCGTGTCTCCCATGAGCCCTCCAACTGTCAGTCCTCTGGCCCTCTCAGCTGTGATGGTTCCAGCTTCCACAGGGGTCAAATAGGTCGAAATGGCAGGGGTGTTAAAGGGCCAGAGACACTTGTAATGTCCAGTTGTTAATTAAGGCATTGTGGCAAATGCTGGACATCCTTGTGGAGGAAGTGAGGGCTTCCCTTCCTGAACAACTTACTGTTAGAGCATTGCATTTGTAAGTCAGAATGGAGCAGACTTGGGCAGCTTGGGTCTCTTTGTAAGTACCACCTGTGGTGGTGGAGCCCTTCTGTTATGCTTTATGCACTAGTTCAGTACTGTAAGAACACAGTTCTGAGTCTGTAGTGGTGAATCGGATGAAATGAAGTACAGCAGTAGGGTTTGGCCTTCCTAATTTAACGTCCATTGAAGTTAATTTTTGAAATAAATTACTAATACTATTAAAGTATATATTTGCTTTATTGCACATTTTAAAATTACTTATTTTGATGACTATAATTTTATACACAAAATATAATGTGACATTATATGAGTATATGGTGAAAGTGTTGTATCTGCAGCTCATACACTGGTGCTTGATCCACGCTGCTGTGTGGGAAACCCTGAGAGGCTTTCTTGTTCATGGCTTCAGCCATGTAATATTTTTATATACGTGTGTATGTGTGTGTGCACACAATAATGACCAATCAAAGCAGACATTTCTGCCTTTTCTATTTCCTGAACATTCAGAACATCCTTGTACAATAAGCTAATAGGTAGACAAAATATGCTTGTTTTATCCGAGCAGACTTCAGTGAGAGTAGCTGCCAGATCATCAGACATTGGAAAATTTATCAGAAAAAGAAATTCGATTTGTGCTCTAGCAGTGCCTGTCCTTACCACAGAAGCATATGGAACAGTGTTTGGGAGTTAATTACCCTAGGGAACCCAAGGTGGGAATGGAATTTCAGTCCCACCATCGGGATAGCTGTATGTTCGGTGATCATGTAAGTACATGTGAAAAAAATTTAATTCTGTTTGTGGACCTTAAGGTTCCCATAACTATGCTCAATACAAACAAACAAACAAGTAAACAGGGCTGGAGGGAAGTATGGTAATCAATAAATAAAGCAAGCAAGCATTCAATAGGGAAACACAAAATGTTGGAGCAGTGAAAGCTGGCAGCAAAAATGAGTGTTTAAACTGGCTGGTAAAAATTAGAGAAGATTCACGTGTTGGGGGAAGGTGAAGCTGAGCGCCGAGAGGGGACACATTGCAAGCTTGAAGCCTAGAGAGCACGCGGCATGCGTTACAGGCCAAGAAAAGCAGTGCATCCCAACAAAATGGCAGCAGTTTTTTTTGGCTGGAAACTAGGCCTCAAGCACTTGAACCTTCAGGTTTTGTTTTTTTTTTTTTTTTTTTTTTGGTTTGTTTCGTTTTTTGTTTTTCTGTAATCGCAGATTCACGGTTTCTAGACTTCGTGGTTTTGACAGGTGTTCCCCGGATCTCTAACTATCTCACCTTAAGGAAGCAATGAAGTTAAATGGTGTAGATTCTATTAAAATCAGCTGGTGGAGGAGTCCATAGAAAGCAGTCGTTACTTAATGCACCTGGGCTGAAGCCCTAGCGTATATACCTGTGCTGAACTACCTGCAGGTGATTCTAGGTGCAGGCAGGTGTGGAAGTTCTGGCCAAGTTTGCCGGAAGAGGAGGCGTTTTAAGAAGCGGGACAGAAGCTGTTGGAAATGGTCTCAGGGCACCGCAGGATTGCCACGCTCTTGAATTTGCCCAGAGAGGAGGGGAGGAAACCTTGGGATTTTCAGAGTGCCCGAAGCTACAACTGTGTTCAAGGGAGGTGCTCCTGGGATTCAGAGGAATTGAAGAAGGGGAGAGCCAGAAGCTCCTGAAGCCTCTAAGCTTCTGAAGTTGGTAAGTGCTCGTATCTTCTGGTAGTTGAAAAATAAGTTTAGGTTTTCTAGAGAGTAACTTGACAATATGAACATGAACGTAACACTTTCCTGCTCTGCAAGCATGCCTTTTTTGGGATAACTATGATAGAGAAATAAAATTAACAGCAAGCACTGTAATTTAAAGATGGTTATGATAGGAATTTTGACAGAACTTTGAAAAAAAATCAGGTGTGTTAATGAATGGTATGATGGTCCATAGATTATTTCTGTAGACTGTTTCAAAAGCATGGAAAACATTACTCTTTGAAGTGTGGTATGTGGAATGCAGTTGATTTCATTTTCGAAGGACAGAGACCAGAGAAGAGAGAAATCCGTTCAGTTGCTAATGGAAAAGGAATTTGGAAGAGAAATTTGTCTTGTATTTTAGAAGCTTTGTGGATTTCAATGTTTTTGTTTGTCCACGAAAAAAAAATGTTCGGGGGTGGCAAGGATTTGGTGAGAGGTGGTGAATGTGTTTCTCTGTTTGTGAGGATGGCCTGTCTTGAAGGCCTTCTGATGCAAAGAGGTTATAAAATGGTTGCTCAGGTTTGTCTGACTTAGGAAGAACTTAGGAAAGTTAGGAACTATTGGAGAAAAGGCAGGCAGGGAACAGACATGAAGGTGGAGCAGTTCCCAAAGCCTTGCTCAGAAATTGGTGCCAAAATGCTTGCATGCTCCTGAGAGAATGGTGTGTCTTTCAAAAATTGTAAGCCATTTGTGGAGTCTGTCTTGGAACCAGGACAGTTGCTAAGCCTGAATTCCACAAGTGTAACCCAGGTAGACGGGGTTTAACTAGGCCGGGGTGGGGAGATATGAGTGAATTTGAAGATAATGTGAGATTTGAAAGTGTATCCCTAGGAGGACTGTTTTAAAAATGCAGATGAATGATACTGGAGAAGGCTGAGATTTTCAAAGAAGAATTTGCTAAGTTTCAATGATGTTAACATGGAAATGCTCTCGGAAAAATGCAACTAAGGATGTGGAGATGGGTGAAGCCTGGATTTGAGCTGATGGAATAGTCCTCTGTGTGCAGGCCAAACATGGGAAGTAAACACGCCACTGCCTAGTGAGAGACAAGGGTGTGATGGAGAAAAATGTCTTAGGGAACGAATGGTAAAGGGCAGTGAAATAGGCGACAACAGATTGCAGGTGGGGAGAGTTAGAAAAGCAGAAAGACGTGAAGCTGTAGTCCGACAAGTGTAGAAAGTGGGTGATTGCTGCAAAATGTTAAGGGAATGGGTAGAAAATGCCTTAGGACTGAGCAGCTTGTAATGGTGAGACTGGCAACTTTGCTGGGGGCCTTTGGGAAAAATGCAAGGAAATAGTTTGAAGGTCTTTTTTTGACATTTTTGAGTGGAGGGATGAAGAATGCCTGAGCGGGGAGTTGAGTGCCCCTTCAAAGGCCTCTGGCAACTGAAAGCATGAAAGCCCACTGAGTGACGGGAGGAGGAGGACGCTTCCAGGGCAGTTGTGGCGTGATTAGGATGCTGGGTATTTTGCACTGGGTGAACTGCTATTGGGGCGAACCAGGAAGACAGGTTGAAAACCGACTGATCTATTGTGTGCTTTGAACACATACTACGATGGCCACTGTGGGGATTTTGGAGTCAACAGGCAGCACTAAACCTGTCGAGTTTCTGCTGCTTTTACAGTCTCACGTGTGGAACACGTGTTCAATTAGGAACACAAGTGTTCAATTAGCTTTTCACAATGTAAGATCGTTGCATGACATCAGTGCTCTCAGCTGTGTCTGTGCCATCGCTGGCCTCTTGGAAACCGTCCTAGGCAAGCACTGTTCCAGAGACTTCCTAGGCAAAGCTTCCTTGGACTCTGTACCTTTATCTGACAAAATGTAATTATGTTGTCTCTTTTAACCTCTTGAGGCTTAAATAAATACATTGGGTAATAATTGGTTGAACTTACTATAAAGCTTTTACACCTGACCCTATTATCTGCTTACTAGGAATAATTATGATTTCTATGCAAGTATTTCATATTCTTGTTGAACTTTTTAACTGAGTGTTATTTCCACTATTCTGTTGTGATATATCAGATACATGCAATATTTAATCAAGCAAAATGAATAATGGTGTGACTAGAAAAGCAAAATTTCCAAAGACATAGCAAATTTTATAGTCCAATATTAGAACAATTGAGGATTATCAGTTTCATCATTTTTTCAGCCAAGTACTTTGGGTATTGATTGCCCTTAGTGTGGTTAAATTTATTTATGATTATGATTTAAAAGTTTGGCATATTTTTGCTGTAATGAGAAGTTTTTTTTAATCAGAAACAGTGCTTTCTGGAACTTTTTTGGTGGATGTGTAGCAGAGCTGAGGCATAGCTGCTGTTCACTGAATCCCCACTGTGTGTGTGTTGGGAGTATGGGTGGATATGGACTGTACCTTGGATTTGTCAAGAATAAGCTAGCAATACAGTTAAGAATGTTTCTAAGCTTTGGTTCTTCAACAAGCGTATTTGGGTCCTGAGGTCATGGGACTGTAGGCAGCGATGATGAGCTGTGAGAGGTGGAGGTGGGGTGACTTCTGTTTGCTTATTCTCTCTTACGCTGTAGAGATTTGCCTCAAGTGATAGGTTTTAGAACCAGAATTGTTTTATATATTGTTTCCATAAGGTTATTTTCTAAGACCTATGCCTCAAGAAAAAAAAACTCTTGCCTTATTTTTTATTATATTGAAATGCAAATGCAAGTCTTGGGTCTCCATTTTCTCTGCCTTTAAGAAGTTTTCTTTGACTTAAAGGATCAATACATATTTTGATGGAACACTTTATTCTAAGTTATACTATAAAAAGTGAGTCTTGAGAAATAATTTTTAGGGAAAATCAAAAGCTGAATCCTGTTTTGCAGATTTTTTGAAAAAAATCTCAGGTTGTGATTACCATTTGCTATTCTGACTTACAAATTTTAAGTGGCATGGTTTTGCTATTTTAGGAGTAAGCAGTTTCTGAGGTGCGAGGTAAAGATGAGTAGTAAAACATGCTTAACTTTGTTAAAATAAGAGGAAGAGTTTTTTTTTTATTGGTAGAATGATGATAAAGTGAAATAAAATTGAAACATAGCATACCAAGACACTCGGTTAAATCTTGAATGCT